CGGCCATCTTGGTAGAGGCAAGGCTTTTCTTCCTCATGCCAGAGCCTCCAGGACAGTATGTCACATCACCAAATATCACTCCAGTTTTTTTTTAAACTGGCAGTCAGAGGCAGCAGTGCCTTGGATCAGCCTTTTTTCACCCCAGGGTGCCTTCGGGTTTTTTCAGGGGTGCCTTGGAAAAATGCCTAAAAATTGCCCAAAAATGGTATAAAAGCCAGGAGGAGGGTGGAGCAAGCCTGCCTTTTAGATACACAAAGCCGCAGGTCTTCACTGTGCACCATTACAGCTTCCTAGCTGACGACAACATCCCGGGGATGTTGGATTCCGATCACCCGACGCCCGGGATATGTAGTTCTGGGCGCCGGGCAGGTAGTTTTTTTTTCCTCCTTTAGTCCTGCTGCGGGCAAGCAACGGGCTCACCTGTCAGCGCTGCCGCCGATTGCTTCCACACAATGCCGTCTTTCCGCGCTCCCCCCCACTGTGAGGTTTCCTGGGCTCCGCTTGCCCATCTGCGGGCCCGGCTCGCCATCGGCTAGAGGGGAGGGAAAAGAGCTCCCCCTTCTTGTGCTGACCCAGAAGTGAAGTTATGATGTCACTTCCGGGTCCCCGATGAGAGATTGCAATACGATCCCCTGGAATGAATGCAATATGGTGCGATGTGCACCACATTACATTCAATGGAGCAGAGGGGAGACATGCAGGGTCTTTTAGATGTCTCAAAGAGAACCTGTCACCAAAAATCATCACATCGAAAAAAAAAAAAAAAGTGAAAAAGTTACAGGAGGCAGCGGATTGGGCTTGGCACCGGAGGCAGCGGGTTGGGCCTGGCACTGGAGGCAGCGGGTTGGGCCTGGCACGGGAGGCAGCGGGTTGGGCTTGGGAGGTAGCGGGTTGGGCCTGGCACGGGAGGTAGCGGGTTGGGCCTGGCACTGGAGGCAGCGGGTTGGGCCTGGCACGGGAGGCAGCGGGTTGGGCTTGGGAGGTAGCGGGTTGGGCCTGGCACGGGAGGTAGCGGGTTGGGCCTGGCACGGGAGGTAGCGGGTTGGGCCTGGCACGGGAGGTAGCGGGTTGGGCCTGGCACGGGAGGCAGCGGGTTGGGCTCGGCACGGGAGGCAGCGGGTTGGGCTCGGCACGGGAGGCAGCGGGTTGGGCTCGGCACGGGAGGCAGCGGGTTGGGCTCGGCACGGGAGGCAGCGGGTTGGGCTCGGCACGGGAGGCAGCGGGTTGGGCTCGGCACGGGAGGTAGCAAGTTGGGCTCGGCACAAGAGGCAGCGGGTTAGGCTTGGCACAGGAGGCAGCGAGATGGGCTTGGCACAGGAGGTAGCCGGTTGGGCTTGGCACAGGAGGTAGCCGGTTGGGCTTGGCACAGGAGGTAGCCGGTTGGGCGGGTTGAGGTTGGCACACAGCGAAGCAAAGCCCTGTATGGCTGGGGTGGAGGCTTACACAGGACTATGGGCTTCCCTGTGACAGTGACGATTGGCCCAGAGCTGTCACATGGGGTGAGTCACATGCTCCTCTATACACTGAAGTACCAAGTAGCTCCTTCGTCTCCTGGCCTGGAGCAGAGCAGCAGGAGAGCGATGTTATAGTAAATATATGTTGGGGGGGGGATATATAGGGGAAATTCAGAAGAAAAAAAAAAAAGCCCCAAAATGTGACATCAGCACGACCCAACAGCCCCTCAGGTCTGCTCACCAGGATTGATGCTGAATGACGTCTGGATGGAGTTACGCCTCATGCAGGTGACAGAACTGGTGACAGCATGCATGTGGGAGAAGAGCTGCATGGCGCAGAGCGGGTAGCGTGGCACGCTGTCGTTCCCGGGTACGTTGTGATTCCTGTAACACTACACAGGAAAGATACAGAGCAGTTAGTTACTACTTTACTTTTCTCCATCACCAATAATCAGTACAGTTCGGCTCCCGTGCAGTGAGGCTGCACCCGTTAACGGCTCCAAGGCGAGGACAACGGGGACACACTAACCTGATCCGCCAATCCTCCCCACACAAGACCGGTCCGGCACCACCAAGCTCCAGCGATCTTGAAAATGGACTGTTCCTGACCTCAGCATGCTCAAAAGACAGAACACAGTCCACTGCTGGACAGGGGGGGGGGGGGGGGGGAGTGGTTTTCCCAGAGGATCGGTGGATCAGGTGAGCATAAACTTTGCGCTCACCCCTAAAAAAAAAAAAAAAAAAAAGAGCAGTTGACGCATGCAGTGTTGGCACAGTCCAACTGCATGGGGGGGGGGGGGGGGGGGGGGGAAACTGCCCAGAGTTTGGGCTTTAACCCCTTGGCGCCAGCGCCTCCCGGCCCTTTAAGGGTTTCAGAAGCCGGAAGGTGGGGCGGGGTTTTAAGGTCATGTGACCACCGTGATTCCCAGTCACGGCAGTCACATGATCGGGAAAGGTCCCGATTGAAAGAGATCAGGACCTTTCCATGAGTACCGGACATGTGTGCTGGGAGTGCGCAGGGCGAGCGCTCTCAGCACATATGTTTTTGTTAATTGCACGCAAATGTGCGGGCCCGCTCGGCGTGAAGAGGTTAAAGTGGTTCTAAAGGCTCAAGGTGTTATACCTGTGCATGAAATTAAAAAACCTTCTCTATGCAGCAGCCCTCCCCCCAGCCCCCCTCTCGATCCAGCGATGTGTACTGGAGTCTCGTGTATCCCGGGACTCCCTTTTCTCAATGGCTGAGACAGAAGCAGGAGCCATTGGCTCCCGCTGCTGTCAATCACAGCCAATGAGAAGAGAGAAGTGGTGGGGCCGAGCCAAGGCTTCCTGTGTGAATAGACACACGGAGCAGCGGGTGCCCCCATAGCAAGCTGCTTGCTATGGGGGCACCCGACAGGAGGGAGGGCCTAGGAGCTCCGGCAGGGGACCCGAGAAGAGGAGGATCTGGGCTGCTCGGTGCAAAACCATATATAGACATTTCCTGATTTTTTAAAAAAAAAAAAATATATATATATATATATATATATATATATATATATATATTTTTTTTTTTTTTTTTTTTTTTTTTTTACTTTTTGCTATAAAAACATATCCAGTAAAAAAAAAACTTTAAAAATCAAATTTCGTCATAAATTTAGGCCAAAATGTATTCAGCGACATACAAAAAAAAAAAATCCCAATACATGTAAATTAATTGGGTTACGTGAAAGTGATGGTGTCTACAAATGGTGGTATAAATACTGGAATTTTTTTTTTTTTTTTTTTCTTACTATTAATGGCGGCGATTAGCGACTTATAGCGGGACTGCGGCGAGCATTCTGACACGGGTGGGGGAACCGATTTGGTGTCACTGACATCCCCAGTCACACCTATACAGTGATCAGTGCTAATAAAAAGTAATGGCACTGTACTAATGGCACTGGGCAGGAAGGGGGTTACCATCTGGGGCGATCAAAAGGTTAACTGTGTGCTGTTTTACTGTAAGCACACTGCTTTGTATGGCTGAGCTGTGCAGAGCCATACAAAGCAGTGTGCAGGAGCTGACAGGGGAGAGACCTGTATTGTTTACATACAGGTCTCTCCCCTGTTGGAAATCCTCGGAGATCGCCGGGTGCTGGCGGGGAATCATCGGCCGAGACCCGGTGATTGACAGCCGAGGTGTGAATGGCACGGGTAGGGCCCACCCCCAACCCATCAAAATCATCACGTTATTATATAGCATATATGTCGCGGTATTTCTGCTATAGGGCGACGTGGAAGTGGTTAAACGTATCAAGGCAGCTCACCTGTTTGATGACCTCCGTCTCATTTTCGTTCTCAAGGAGGAAGATGGGAAAGCTGAAATCCTCATAGGAGAAGCCGCTACCCAGGGGGTTCCATACGGTTCCGTTGCAGTGTGCGTACTGTGAGCCGTGCTCGCTGGTGTAAAGGCCTGTCAATCAAGAACAGAGGAGGGTCACAGATCAAGTGCTGTTACACTAAACTTTCGAGAGGAACTGGGAAGGGCAGCTTTTCAATGCCACCCGGCAATAAATACGGAAAGGTGGAAATGCACTTTGGAGAAGTTAAAGTGGAGCTCCACCCAAAAAGGGAAGTTCCGCTTTAACCACTTGCTGTCTGGCCGCTGTATATAAACGGCCGGACGGTGGCAGTCCAGGGGCTGGTTGTCGTTCATAAACGGTGCCCGCCATTTTGGACTGTGCGCGCTCCCTGGGAGCGCGCAGCACCACAATCCTGTGCCCGCTGTGTCCCCCGGACACAGTGGAACACTGATCATCGTATGGGACCTCTGTGTGAGGTCCCGATCATGTGATCACTGACTGGCCAATCAGTGATCACATGCAGAGTAGTAAGCAAGGTGTCACTTCTGACATCATTGCTTACTACGTGTGAAATCTGTGAATGATCACAGAGATCACATGGTACAGGGCTATTCACAACAGCCTTGTACCATGTGACAAGCTGTGACCAATCACAGCTCACACAGTATTTCTCAATGGCTGCAAGAATGCAGCCAGAGAGGAGAAATGATTGCTTTTACAGCCTTTATGGGTGTAAAAGCAATCAGTGTAAAAAAAAAAAATAATTCTTCATCACCCCCCACAAGTAGTACAGTGTCACCATGGTGACACTGTACCGCTAGGGTGACTATGTAAAAAAAACAAAAAAACAAATAATATAAAAAATTAAAATAAAAATGTAAAAATGTTTTTTGAAAAATTAGAATTTTTGCTTATAAACTAATTTGGGTTATTTTTTTTTTTTTTTTTTACTAAAAAGATAACCGAATACATTTTTGCCGAGATTTATGAAGAAAGATTATTTATTTGCAAACTTTTATAAGAAAAACACTTTAAACATTTTTTGAACTTTTTCATTTATATAGCAAAAAAAAAAAAAAATCCCCGTGGTGAATAAATACACCTAAATAAAGTTTTAGCTGTCTCAAAAAAAATGCTGAAAAAGTCATTTGGGTACTGGACTGGAAGGGGGGGGAAAGCGTCCTGGAAGGGGGGGGGGGTCTGGAAGGGGGGGGGGACTGGAAAGCGTCCCGACTGGAAGGGGGGGAAAGCGTCCCGACTGGAAAGGGGGGGGAAAGCGTCCCGACTGGAAGGGGGGGAAAGCGTCCAGGGGGGGGAAAGCGTCCCGACTGGAAAGGGGGGGGAAAGCGTCCCGACTGGAAGGGGGGGGAAAGCGTCCCGACTGGAAGGGGGGGGAAAGCGTCCCGACTGGAAGGGGGGGGAAAGCGTCCCGACTGGAAGGGGGGGGAAAGCGTCCCGACTGGAAGGGGGGGGAAAGCGTCCCAACTGGAAGGGGGGGAAAGCGTCCCGACTGGAAGGGGGGGGAAAGCGTCCCGACTGGAGGGGGGGAAAGGGGGGGGGGGGTGTCCGGACTGGAAGGGGGGGGGGGGGAGTGTCCGGACTGGAAGGGGGGGGGAGTGTCCGGACTGGAGGGGGGGGGGGGAGTGTCCGGACTGGAAGGGGGGGGGAAGTGTCCGGACTGGAAGGGGCGGAAAGTGTCCGGACTGGAAGGGGGGAAAGTGTCCGGACTGGATGGGGGGGGGAAAGTGAAAGTGTCCGGACTGGAAGGGGGGGGGGGAAAGTGTCCGGACTGGAAAGGGGGGGGGGAAAGTGTCCGGACTGGAAAGGGGGGGGGAAAGTGTCGGACTGGAAGGGGGGGGACTGGACGGGGGGGGAAAGTGTCCGGACTGGAAGGGGGGGGGGAAAGTGTCCGGACTGGAAGGGGGGGAAAGTGTCCGGACTGGAAGGGGGGGGGAAAGTGTCCGGACTGGAAGGGGGGGGAGTGTCCGGACTGGAAGGGGGGGGAAAGTGTCCGGACTGGAAGGGGCGGAAAGTGTCCGGACTGGAAGGGGGGGAAAGTGTCCGGACTGGAAGGGGGGGAAAGTGTCCGGACTGGAAGGGGGGGAAAGTGTCCGGACTGGAGGGGGGGGGGGAAAGTGTCCGGACTGGAAGGGGGGGAAAGTGTCCGGACTGGAAGGGGGGGGGAGTGTCCGGACTGGAAGGGTCCGGAACTGGAAGGGGGGGAAAGTGTCCGGACTGGAAGGGGGGGGAAAGTGTCCGGACTGGAAGGGGGGGAAAGTGTCCGGACTGGAAGGGGGGGGAGTGTCCGGTCTGGAAGGGGGGGGAGTGTCCGGACTGGAAGGGGGGGGAGTGTCCGAACTGGAAGGGGGGAGGGGGGGGGGGGAGTGTCCGGACTGGAAGGGGGGAGGGGGGGGAGTGTCCGGACTGGAAGGGGGGGAAGTGGATGGGGGGGGGGGGGGGGGGTGTGTCCGGACCTGAAATGGATAAAACCATGGACTTACCGAAGCCATCATTGGGACATGGTACATCCAAGGAGAAGCCCTCCGGAGGGGGCGGCTTGGCGTAGGTGACGGCTATCCCGGAGATACGGGAGCTGCCCTTCAGTTTCAGGAGAATGTTTCTGCTGAGGGAAAGAAAAAAGGATTTTTTTACAGCAAAAACAGATGTTGGACACATGAAGTCGTACAATAAACGTCTCCGGTGATTGTGGACGGCAGTACAGGTGTGTGGTGTGATCTCTGCCTCCGTCACGTCTTACTTGTTGAATAAGTTGCCCTCCCAGCAGCACCATGTAGGGGGGGGGGTGGGGCCGCTCTCCAGTACCCAGGGCAGGTCGTCTTCCCTCTCCACCACGTGGATGACACCCGTGTCACCATTCCTGGACGCTGAAACACACAAAACTAAATTCACAGGAAGGACAACCAACGATATGGACTTACAGGAGGTTTTAGTTTTTGTGTTGACATCTACTTTAATGTTGGGGGGGATCTGAGGGGGTGAAGGAGAAGGAATTGGGGTGATCTGAGGGGTGAAGGAATTGGGGTGATCTGAGGGGTGAAAGAGAAGGAATTGGGGGGATCTGAGGGCGAAGGAGAAGGAATTGGGGGGATCTGAGGGGTGAAGGAATTGGGGTGATCTGAGGGGTGAAGGAGAAGGAATTGGGGGGATCTGAGGGCGAAGGAGAAGGAATTGGGGGATCTGAGGGGTGAAGGTCTTACACTGGCAGCCAATCTGATGCGTGGCATTGAGGAGTCGGACACACGGAGCCGTGCTGTTCAGTAGGATATAGATCTTCCTCTCCACAGAGTTCCCCCGACACAGACCTGACAGACATACAATCATCATTAATCATCTCTAAATATACAATCCCCTCCCCCCAATACAATCCCCTCCCCCAATACAATCCCCTCCCCCCAATATACCCAGCCCGGGCAATCACACAAAGAGTTGTTATAACCCCGGATAGGCTCAGGGCCCGAGAGGAGTACTGAGGTGGGGTGCTGTGATTTTTCCCCCCCCCCGGCCATGACTTGCCTGAATTGTATAGAGAAGAACAGAGCCCCAGTGATGACATCATGGACTCTAAAAGAAGGTGGTCACATAACACCGCATAAATAATAAACACCGGTCACATGACGGGTATAAATAATAAACACCGGTCACATGACGGGTATAAATAATAAACACCGGTCACATGGCGGGCACAAATAATAAACACCGGTCACATGACAGGTATAAATAATAAACACCGGTCACATGACGGGTATAAATAATAAACACCGGTCATATGGCAGGCACAAATAATAAACACCGGTCACATGACGGGTTTGAAATAAATAATAACGATGATGAAGGAATGGAGGGACTGCTCTTAGTAATGAACACTGGTCACATGACAGGTATAAATTATAAACAACGGTCACATGATGGGTATGAAAAATTAACCCCGGTCACATGACAAATATAAACACCGGTCACATGATGGGTATAAATCATAAAGCCCTGTCACAAGACAAGTATAAACCCCGGTCACATGACGGGTATAAATTATAAACAACGGTCACATGACGGGTATAAATCCTAAACCCCAATCACATGACGGGTGTAAATCCTAAACCCCGGTCACATGACGGGTATATATCACAAACCCCGGTCACATGACGCGTATAAACCCCCGGTCACATGACGCGTATAAGCCCCGGTCACATGACGCGTATGAATAATAAACCCCCGGTCACATGACGGGTATAAATTATAAACAACGGTCACATGACGGGTATAAATCCTAAACCCCAATCACATGACGGGTGTAAATCCTAAACCCCGGTCACATGACGGGTATATATCACAAACCCCGGTCACATGACGAGTATAAACCCCGGTCACATGACGGGTATATATCACAAACCCCGGTCACATGACGGGTATAAACCCCGGTCACATGACGGGTATAAATCACAAACCCCGGTCACATGACGGGTATAAATCACAAACCCCGGTCACATGACGGGTATAAATCATAACAATGATGGAGGGACTCCTCTTTGAGCAGCAGAGAGCACTGAGACTCCTCTTAGTTATACACCCCGGTCACATGACAGGTATAAATGACAGTAATAGAGGATGGAGGGTCTCTCCAGGATGAGGTCACACGGGGGATCTTCTCGGTGAAGTCTCAGTTCTCAGGCTGCAGTCTGGGCTGTAATCACGTGATCCCGCCCCTCCAGGGCTGTGAGGGGACCAGAGATCACAGGGTTCTGCCGGTCACATGACCTGAGGACATGCCCAATACCACCCATCCCCCGGCGGCCTCGCTCACCAGTCAGCAGCACCAGAGAGACACCGAACAACACACCGGCCGCCGCCATTATCTTCAGCCTTTCCACTTCCGCCCTGCCCAGAGGCCCATAGCGGCCTCCTTCCGCCAACACCTGGCTCCACTTCCGCCAGGGCTCCGGCCGGGTTAGTGGGCGTACCCGGACGCTCTGTCTGTGTGGGCGTGATCAGGCTACGCATGCGCGGAAACGGTGGGCCGGCGAAGCGAGTCCAACGCGGCACTTCCGGGACACTGTGGGCTGACGTGTGACGGGCGGCCGGGAAATGCTGACCAAGTTCGAGACCAAGTCTGCCCGGGTGAAGGGTAAGGAGGACCCCCCGGGGCTGAGGGGGCAGAGCAGTGCATTGTGGGTATACACAGGGTGATTGGGGGAGGGGCACCTCTGCTAGGCCCCCCTGAGGAACCACAAGGCCCAGCATCACCCCCCTTCCTCCATTCACTGACCTTGTGGGACTTGTAGTTCTTCAGGAGGGACCAGCAGCCCGGGCAGCCAATCACAGCCGTCGGAAATTTCCATCGCCAACCTTTGTCGTTTTTATTTGATTCCACCGCCAGCGAAAAATCTCTGCCCCCCCCCCCCCCCACACATCCGCTCACCAAGTTACAATGTACAGCCTGAGCGATCATCGGGGGAGGGGAGACTGAGGAAATGCCTCCTCCTGCAAAGTTACAATGTACAGTCTGATCACTGGGGGAGGGGAGGACTGAGGAAATGCCTCCTCCTCCTTCTGCAAAGTTACAATGTACAGTCTGATCACTGGGGAATGGAGACTGAGGAAATGCATCCTCCTCTTTCTGCAAAGTTACAATGTACAGTCTGATCATCAGGGGAGGGGAGATTGCTGCAGGAGGAGGCATTTCCTCAATCTCCCCTCCCCTGATGATCACTCAGACTGTACATTATAACTTTGCAGGAGGAGGAGGAGGCATTTCCTCAGACTGATGACAGATGGTGGCAATAAAGTAGATTTTGACGTCCTCTTTGCCCGATCTTCCTCCATGTTTCTCCCTCCGGATTGGCCGGTTCTGGGTGACAACCCCAAAGGAGGAACTTCGCCCCCTCCCCCACTTTTGTGAATCCCCTTATAGCTGTAATGCTGGGCAGTGATGTGCCGCACACCCCAGTACACAGCCCCGGAGGGAGGATCCATCATACTGCACCCATTGGTCAGTAGAGCCATGTGATGGTGCTGACCAATGAAAGTGCCATCTGAGGCTGCTCCTTACAGTAAGAGGTCCTACAAGAAAGAAGCGCTCCTCCTCCTCATTGGTCAGCAAGGTCACATGGCTCCATTGCACCCCAATACAGAGCCCTGGAGTGAGGATCCATCATAATTCTGGCAATGGCAAGGATTCATTGGTCAATGGAGCCATGTGACGGTGCTGGCCAGTGAGAAGTGCCATCTGAGGCTGCCCCTTATAATAAGGGGTTCCAGAAAAAAAGGGGCTCCTCATTGGTCAGCAAGGTCACATGGCTCCATTGCACCCCAATACACAGCCGCAGAGTGATTATCCATCATAGTGCAACCCATTGGTCGATGGAGCCATGTGACGGTGCTGACCAATGAAAAGTGCCATCTGAGGCCCCTTCTTATAGTAAGGGGTCCTAGAAGAAAGAAGCGCTCCTCATTGGTCAGCAAGGTCACATGGCTCATTGCACCCCAATACATAGCCCCGGAGTGAGGATCCATCACAATACTTGCAATGGCCAGCACTCATTGGTCAATGGAGCCATGTGACTGTTCTGACCAATGAAAAGTGCCATCTGAGGCTGCTCCTTATAGTAAGGGGTCCTAGAAGAAAGAAGTGCTCCTCATTGGTCAGCAAGGTCACATGGCTCTATTGCACCCCAATACAAAGCCCCGGAGTGAGGATCCATTATCATACTTGCAATGGCAAGAACTCATTGGTCAATGGAGCCATGTGACTGTGCTGGTCAGTAAGAAGTGCCATCTGAGGCTGCTCCTTACAGTAAGAGGTCCTAGAAGAAAGAAGAGCTCCTCATTGGTCAACACAGTCACATGGCCAATGAGCACTGGCCATTGCAAGCATTATGAAGGATCCTCACTCCGGGGCTGTGCATTGGCTCCACTGCGCACCTCTTAGTCAGTGGAGTTCACCTTTTCCATGAGAAGATGGACTTGCCCAGAAGAAAGCCGACCCTGCCACCCTTACAATAAAGGCAACCAATCGGAGCCTCGCAGGAAATGCCATCGCATTCCGAACAAAAGGGTCCCGTGGGGCTCCCGAAGCATTGCAGTCGATATTGAAGATGGCGCGGGTTTCTGTATATTATGACCCGTCCGGAATTAAAACTTGCAGACAGGTCCTCTTTTAATGTTCTGCTTTCTCTTTCTTTCCTCGGTCAGGCCTGAGCTTCCACCCTAAGCGACCATGGGTCCTCACCAGTCTGCACAACGGCATCATTCAGCTGTGGGATTACCGCATGTGTACCCTCATAGACAAGTTCGATGAACACGATGGTAAGAAAACGATTATCCCGTATCCTGCCAGAGGTGCGATCCCTCAATGAAGGCTTCCCGGAGGTGCCGGGTGAGGGGCCTCCTCTTGTTGTACCAGATTTGTACCCTCTTGGCACCGTCTCCACCCGGGTAAATGGTTGACTAACGTCCAGTAGGTTTTTGGGCTGGTATGCTGACATGGACAGTCAGAACTTCCCGGCCTCGTATTAGGGGTCAGTGTTGGACTCTAGTAATGGGGGGTTGTCTCCAGCATCGTGTGACCCGGCCTCATGGGTGGCAAACTATGGGGTGGGTCTTGGGAAGCGATGGTTACAAAAGTTCATGACACTCAGAAGCAAATTTTATTGAATGAGAGCATCAGGAGAAGGCAACGCGTTTCAGGGAAATTGCCTTCCCCTTCCTCAGGGCTGAAGCCATGAACAGGGTTTGACGAGCGGTGCGATGAGATGAAGTTGTCATGTGACCAATCTAAGATTTGAGATCGAGCCTCGTTATAGGCATCCAATAGCATCTCACCGCTAGTCCCCTTCTTCAGGGCTGAAGCCATGAACAGGGTTGGACGAGCGGTGAGATGAAGTTGTCATGTGACCGATCTAAGATTGGAGATCGAGCCTCGTTATAGGCCTCCTTCTAGCATCTCGCCGCTAGTCCAGTCACATCCACAGCTTCAGCCCTGAGGAAGGGGACTAGTGGTGAGATCCTATTAGGTTGCCTATAACGAGGCTTGATCTCAAAACCTAGATCGGTCACATTACAATCTCACCGCTAGTCCCCTTCCTCAGGGTCGAAGCCGTGGATATGATTTGGACGAACGATGAGATGAAGTTGTAATGTTGCCGATCTAAGTTTTGAGGTCAAGCCTCATTATAGGCGTCCTGTTATCATCTCACCGCTAGTCCCCTTCCTCAGGGCTCAAGCCGCGGATATGATTGGATGAATGATGAGATGAAGTTGTAATGTGGCTGATCTAAGTTTTGAGGTCAAGCCTCATTATAGGCCGCCTCCTAGCATATCACTGCTAGTCCCCTTCCTCAGGGCTCAAGCCATAGATATGACTCTACAAGCGGTGAGATGCTATTAGGTTTCCTATAATGAGGCTTGATCTCAAAATGTAGATCGGTCACATGACCATTGCATCTCCTCTCACCCCTCGTCCAATCGTATCCATGGCGTCAACCCTGAGGAAGGGGGAGACCATTTTCCTGAAACTTGTTGCCTTTGACTAGTGGTGAGGTGAAGTTGTCATGTGACCGATCTAAGTTTTGAGATCAAGCCTCATTATAGGCCGCCTAACAGCATCTCACCGCTAGTCCCCTTCCTCAGGGCTGAAGCCGTGGATACGATTGGACGAGCGATGAGATGAAGTTGTCATGTGACCGATCTAAGTTTTGGGATCAAGCCTCATTATAGGCATCTTCTAGCACAATCTCACCGCTAGTCCTCTTCCTCAGGGCTGAAGCCGTGGATACGATTGGACGAGTCGGTGAGAGGAGATGAAATTGTCATGTGACCGATCTAAGTTTTGAGCTCAAGCCTCATTATAGGCCTCCTAATAGCATCTTGCCGCTAGTCCTCTTCTTCAGGGTCAAAGCCATGGATATGATTGGACGAGCGATGAGATGAAGTTGTCATGTGACCGATCTAAGTTTTGAGATCAAGCCTCATTATAGGCAACCTAATAGCATCTCACCGCTAGTCCAATCGTATCCACGGCTTCGGCCCTGAGGAAGGGGACTAGCGGTGAGATGCTATTAGAATGCCTATAATGAGGCTTGATCTCAAAACTTAGATCGGTCACATGACAACTTCATCTCAAGCCTCATTAGAGGCATCCTATAGCATCTCACCGCTAGTCCCCTTCCTCAGGGTGAAAGCCGGGGATATGATTGGACGAGGGGTGAGATGCTATTAGGTTGCCTAAAACAAGGCTTGCTCTCAAAACTTAGATCGGTCACATGACAACTTCATCTCCTCTCACCAACCCTCGTCCTGTCATATTCATGGCTTCAGCCCTGAGGAAGGGGGAGGCCATTTTCCCGAAACGCGTTGCCTTTGACTAGTGGTGAGATGAAGTTGTAATGTGACTGATCTAAGTTTTGAGAGCAAGCCTCATTATAGGCGTCCTAATATCCCACTGCTAGTCCCCTTCCTCAGAACTGAAGCCGTGGATATGATTGGACTAGCGGTGAGATGCTATTAGGTTTGCCTAAAACAAGGCTTGCTCTCAAAACTTAGATCGGTCACATGACAATTTCATCTCTCTCACCGCTCGTCCAATTGTATCCACGGCTTCAGCCCTGACGAAGGGGGAGACATTTTCCTGAAACACTTTGCCTTTGACTAGTGGTGAGATGAAGTTGTCATGTGACCGATTGAAATTTTGAGATCAAGCCTCATTATAGGCAACCTAATAGCATCTCACCGCTAGTCCAATCATATCCACGGCTTCGAACCTGAGGAAGGGGACTAGCGGCAAGATGCAATTAGGTTTCCTATAATGAGGCTTGATCTCAAAACTTAGATCGGTCACATGACAACTTCATCTCAAGCCTCATTAGAGGCATCCTAATAGCATCTCACGCTAGTCTCCTCTTCTTCAGGGCTGAAGCCGTGGATACGATTGGACGAGGGGTGA